CACTGCACTCTAGTGTGGGTGACAGAGTGAGACTCCAACTCAAAAAAAAAAAAAAAAGAATTCTATTATATGGATGTTTTGTAAATTATTTAAGAAATCACTTATTGGGCAGGGATATTCAAAACTGCCCAAGCAGTTCCTTCAAGAGGCTTTTTGGTTTCTATGACTTGACCAACTTTTCATACTAAGGTCATATACATTTCAGAGATAGGAATATTTATGAATGTGTCATTGACTTTTGCCAGATGGGGTACAGATATTTGAAGTATTTGGCTGCATTTCTGAAGGATTTTTTTTTATTTTAGAGTATGAAATAGCTCTACTATTCTGGGGATTTCATCTTTCAACTGAGTGATTTGGGGAAATGAATTAATGATAATTTCCTAGAAAACTAAACTTACAAAAAAAAGATTATTTAAATCTTGGAGAAGAAAAAGACTTATGCAAGGAAAACAGAATAATCCAAGTATACTACATAGCTCAGTTGGTAATGGTGTTTACATAATTATAATAATATAAACTGAGTATTCATTAAAAAATTCAAGCCAGACATGGTGGTTCATGCTTATAATCCCAGCACTTTGGGAGGCCAAAGCGGGAGAATTGCTTAAACCCAGGAGTTAAAACCAGCCTGGGCAACATAGTGAGACTTGTCTCCACAAAAAGTAAGAAAATTAACCTGGCATGGTGGTGTACACCTGTAGTCCAAGCTACTTGGGAGGCTGAGGGAGAAGGATCTTCTGGACCCAGGAGGTCAAGGCTGCAGTGAGCTGTGATCATGCCACTGCAGTCCAGCCTAGGCGACAGGATGAGACTGTGATTCAACAACAGCAACAAAATTCATCTGAATATTCATTTACCCTGAAGTAGAATAAAATCATATTGAAAGGACAGGGGTACTACAACTATGCATATGCAGGGCAGGAGATGGGTGGGTGAAAGATAGCTAAAACTATGCCTTCCGTGATGGGAAATGAATAGACAGTGATTACAATTGCAGCAATATTAGCATTTATTTATTTGTGTGGAGTTTAAATACCAAAAGGAATGACCAAAAGAGGAGAAAATTGTTGCCTCTGGATTTGGAAGATGAGGGGCAGAGTAGCAGGGATGGAGCTCTTGGGGTTTTTTGTGATATTCCTTGAATAGCTATTTTTAACTTTTCCAGGTATAGGTCGATGCATTAATTATATAGGCATAAGTGGATTAATAAGTAAGTGGTAGGGTTATTCAGGTATAAATGATACAAATATCTTATTACAAAATTCAGAGACTTCAGAGAAGAACAAAATAAAGATCACCTGGGATACCATGAAGTAGAGGTGACGCAATAAAATTTTACTACAATTCACAGATTATTTTATGCGTGTACATGGATGCGTGTGTATGTAGTTGTTCTGCCAAAATACAATCGCATTACAATACTACTTTTTTTTTTTTTTTTTTGAGTCAGGATCTTACTCTGTTACGCAGACCAGAGTACAGTGGCACATTCACAGTTCACTGCAGCCTTGAACTCCTGGGCTCAAGCAATCTTCCCTCCTCTCAGCCTCCCGAGTACCTGCATTCACCACCATGCCCAGCTAGTTTTTTTATTTTTTATTTTTGTAGAAATGAAGATCTTGCTTTGTTGCCCAGACTGACCTTGAACTCCAGACTTGCCCTGGGGTAGAGGACAGAGACCAACTGGAAGACCTCCTGCTGAAGTGTCTAGGATTATGCTTTGATGTAGGAGAGTCTCTGCTCTGTCTATTCCTTGGCGTAGCTGATTTCTCTGTGGCTTTTGGGAAGACGTATAGATTGCCTAAACTACTACCTATTATAATTTGTCTGTGTGTTTGGGGCAGGGGTTCCATATAGAAATGGAGAAGTAGTATAGGTTTTTAAAATTTGGAAGCTCTGAGGTAATTCTCATGATTTTGCATTCTTCCCTTAGGTCTGGCTTCTGTGGACCTTGCTTCTCCAGTAAATGAACCTTGAGGAAAACTGAGCAGTTCTTGAAATTTTAAAATCATGGCTCATGTAAGTTGGTGTTTCTATTTGGAGTTCTGTCTTTATTTCCTCAGGTTGTGTGAATATTCTCATTCATTATTCTGAAACTTCCTAACAGAGCCCTATACAAAAACTGCTGCCCAGTCTTTCCCTTTCCAGTGAGGGATGGAGCCAGACTGCCCTGACCACTGCTTTGCACACCTCTCTTCTATGTCCACATGTACACTGACCAAATCACTTGGCATCTCTTGTGTGCTTCATAGCCATCTAGGGCAGAGATGGAACAGAAGTGAAGGCCCTAGAGGGTGGTATTTGATCTGAGACACTTAGAATAGCACTGTCCAAAATAATTTTAATTCAGGCTACAATATGGAATTTAAAGCTTTCTAGTAGTACATTTTAAAAATACAGAATAATATGCAAGGTATATAATATCTTAAATATTTCAGTAGTCATGTTAAAAAAAAGTAAAAAGAGGCCGGACTTGGTGGCTCAGCCTGTAATCCCAACACTGGGAGGCTGAGGCGAGTGGATTGCCTGAGCCCACAGGTTTGAGACCAACCTGGGCAACTTGGCGAGACCTCATCTCTACAATAAATCAAAAATTAGCCAGGTGTGGTAGCACACATCTGTATTTCCAGCTACTTGGAAGGCTGAGACAGAAGGATCACCGGAGCCCAGCAGGTCGAAGCTGGGATGGCCATGAGTGTGCCACAGCACTCCAGCCCGGGTGATGGAGTGAGACTCCAACTCAAAAAAAAAAGTAAAAAGGAGCACGTGCAATTAATTTTAATATGTTTTACTTAACCCAGTATAGCCAATATATTATCATTTCAAAATGTAGTCAATATAAAAGTTGACAAGATATTTTACTTTTTTTCTTTCTAAAATCTGCACTATTTGGTACACATTTTATACTTATAGTACGTCTGAATTTGGATTAGCCACAATTCAAGTGCTCAATAACCACATGTTGCTAAACTAGCATATTGGACTTTACATCTTTAGAGATCTTATGTAATATAATTTAATATATTTAAAAGTATAGAAATATCTAAGTATAATCATTATTAAGTGTAATGTATCCATAAGATGAACTACAAGAGTCCTCCTCATCTGAGGATACAATCCATGACCCTCAGTAGATGCCTAAAATCTTGCATAGTACTGAACCCTATATACAATGTTTTTTTTTTTTTAAATCTGATAACCAAGATGGCTACTAAGTGATTAATGGACAGGTACTATATATACACTGTTGATATGCTGGATAAAGGTATGATTCACATCCTGGGCAGGATGTAGGAGATAGCATGAGATTTTATTATGCTACTCAGAATGGTATGCAATCAAAACCATGAATTTTTCTGTTTAATATTTTCAGACTGCAGTTGACTGAGGGTAACTGAAACTACAGAAAACCACAAATAAGGGGGAGCTACTGTATTGTATAGTAAATTTAAAATATTCAATAAAGGATTTGTTGTAATAAGGAAAATTCTATGATATAATGATATTTAGGTATAAAGATCTGGAAGAAATTTCTTTAACTTTATGTGAAACTCTACTTTTTAAATATAGAAGCTGAGTGCGATGACTCAAGCCTGTAATCCCAACACTTTGGAAGGCAGAGGCAAGAGGATTGCCTGAGCCTACGTTTTAGAGACTAACCTGGACAACTTGGCAAGATCTTGTCTCTACAATAAATAAAAAATTAGCTGGGTGTGGTGGCGTGTGCCTGTAGTTCCAGCTACTTGGAAGGCTGACAGCTGCTTGGAAGGCTGAGGCAGAAGGATCGCCTGAGCCCAGCAGGTTGAGGTTGTGGTGGCTGTGAGTGTGCCACTGAACTCCAGCCTGGGCCACAGAGTGAGACTCCGACTCAAAAAAAAAAAAAAAAAGAATAGAGATTTTAGAATTCATTTTCAGGAAAAAATTCCATCAATTTTTTTTTTCTAATCCTGAAAGGAAAAGAGGATGGAGTAAATCATGTTTACTGAGATCTTTTTGTTTTAGGCTCTTTTTAAGCAGTGTTCTTATGAGCCTATTTCAGTTAATTGGGAAATTCTGGTAATTACCTGAACTTGTCTGGAAGTAACTAAAAGTATTTATCCCCTATACCAAAGTACATAGGAAGTTTGGGCTATAGCAGTGATAGGCAATCTACAAATACTACAGATTTGGCCCATGAGCCAAATTCAGACCATGGCCTGTTTTGGTACAGCCTGCAAGCTAATTACATTTTGAAAGAATTTTTAAAGAAAGAAAGAAACGGAGAAGAGGAATATGCAACAGAGACCATATATGTTATGTAAAATTAAAATTTTGGCCCTTTATAGAAAATATTTGCCAACCCTTGGTCTACATTAATAGAAATCTTCAAGAACATGTAGATATTCTGCTTCAATCACACTTCCTTACTACCTCCTACCCATATCACAGGTTTCCAGCCCCAGCCCATTCATTTGATATATGAAATGAATATATCGAAGCTGGGCTCGGTGGCTCAGCCTGTAATCCCACGCCTTGGGAAACTGAGGTGAGTGGATTGCCTGAGCCTGTGGGTTCGCAACCCGCCTGGGCAACTCGGTGAGACCTCATCTCTGCAATAAATCAAAAAATTAGCCATGTGTGGTAGTGCGCGCCTGTAGTTCCAGCTACTTGGAAGGCTGAGGTGGAAGGATCGCCGGAGCCCAGCAGGTCGAGGCTGCAGTGACCGGGAGTGGCCACTGCACTCCAGTCTGGATGACAGAGTAAGACTCCAACTCAAAAAAAAAAAAAGAAATGAATATATCATTGAGATCCTTCTTTTCTCTTCAAAATATTTTCTTTAATCTTACAAATAACACATGGGTTTATCATTTCAGGACTTGGTGGTGTTCAGAGATGTGTCTGTAGACTTTTCTCAAGAAGAGTGGGAATGCCTGAACTCATATCAGAGGAATTTGTATAGAGATGTGATATTAGAGAACTATAGCAACTTGGTGTCATTGGGTAAGCTTATCAGTGTCAAATAATTTGGAAATTCACAGGTCTGAGTTTCTGGACTGTCATTCCTAAAACTACCTGAATATCTGCTTTGTGGTTTGGCAATAGGCACAATTATTAAACACCTTTATCTCCCCCCATAATTCAATGGCTATAGCAGTCGTCGGCTAACTATGAATACTACAGATTTGGCCCATGAATCACATTCAGGCCATGGCCTGTTTTGGTACGGTCTGCAAGCTAATGTCTTTCTTTGTCTTTTCTGTTATCACCTCTCTTTAATGACATCTGGATATAAATTTTTAGACACAGCAAAACCATTGTCAAAGAAATCTGATTTTATAGGTCAGGTGTGGTGGTTCACTCCTGAATCCCAGCATTTTGGGAGACCGAGTTTAGAGAATTGCTTGAGGCCAAAGTTAGAGACCAGCCTGGGCAACATAGTGAGACATTGCCTCTACAAAAAAAATAAATAAATAAGCCAAGCATGATGATGCAGGCCTATAGTTCCAGCCACTCAAGGAGCTGAGGCAGAAGGATCACATGAACTCAAAAGATTGAGGCTGTAGATAGTGCCACAGCACTCTAGCCTGGGTGACAGAATGAGACTCCAACTCAAAAAAAAAAAAAAAAATCTGATTTTATACTGCTATAGATGGTCCATGTTTTTGTGGACTTACCCACAATGAGAATAGGAAGACAGAGGTATGTGGCTCTAGATATGAGAGGGGACTCAAAAAAAAGCAGAATTATTTTTTGGAAGGTGGGCCCCTTTGTAGTACAGGCTTCCCCTGCTAGGTAAATGTTCTAGGAACCCATTGGCATAAGTATACCAGCTAGTGTTGTTGTGAGGGGCTGCATTCAACTTCAGTGAAATTTTTATGGAGATTCCTTCTACATGTTTGCACATTTTATGATGGATGATTTATGAGCTCACTTAGCCACAATGAGCTGAGGGTTCAGCAATTTTTTACTAAAAATGGCATGACTCCTCTCTTCATCCAGTCTTGCCCTAGTGACTTTTTTTGTTTCCCTGGATGAAAAGTCCTCAAAGGTAAGTAATTTGCTGATGCAGAAGAGGTGAAACAAAAAAACAACAGAAGCTCTGAAAGGCAACCAAATTGGTGAGTTCAAAAACTATTTTGAGCAGTGGAAAAAGAATCTCGATAGGTGTATTGGATCAAACAGAGAGTACTTTGAAGGTGGCTGAAGTTTAAATATGTAAGGATAAAACAACTTTTTGTAAATAAATTTCAGTGTTTTAGCGGGGCTTGGTGGCTCAGCCTGTAATCTTGCGCCTTTGGGAGGCCGAGGTGAGTGGATTGCCTGAGCCTGTGGGTTCGAGACCCTCCTGGGCAACTTGGCGAGACCTCATCTCTCCAATAAATCAAAAATCAGCCAGGTGTCGTAGCGCATACCTGTAATTCCGGCTACTCGGAAGGCTGAGGCGGAAGGATCACCAGAGCCCAGCAGTCGAGGCTGCGGTTGCCGGGAGCGGCCACTGCACTCCAGTCTGGGTGACAGAGTGAGACTCCAACTCAAAAAAAAAAAAAAAAAAAAAAAAAAAAATATATATATATATATATATATGTATATATATATATATATATTTCAGTGTTTTTTGGGTCCCTCCTCATACTTATTAAAAGAGCTTATTCAGTGTATTTGATGCTGGGGTGAATCAACAGTTTGTTAAAACTCAAGTGGACATATTCAGTTTCCTACAACAGACATGTTATTTGACTGCTTTGTGATTAGTTTTAAAGTATATGAACTTTGCATTTAACATTGGATGAATATCCTGGCAAGAAACTTATTTTCTTCTTATCAAAATAATATTAAAAAATAGTACTTAATAAACACATCCTTAACCTGTACTAGGCATTCATATACACACTTATATTAAATCAAACCTCACAAGAATTCTATCTATACACATTACTATAACTTTTTTGCAACAGAGAAAACTGAGACACAGAGAAATTAAATTATTTGGTCTAGTGATGTTGGTGACAGAGGCAAATTTGAAACCAGTGCTCTCAACTATTCCTTTCTCTCAAGACAGAGCCTGTATGAATTAAGTTAAAATAAGACCATGTCCCTACCTCTCTGTTGTGTTTTTCCTTGTGATCCTAAAGTAACTCTAATAGGAATGTTTTCCAATCCTAAAAGTCTTCTTTGTTCTGAAGACTTGATCAAATAAATTTTTTCTTTATTATGTTTCGTTATTTTCTTTCAAGCAGGATGTTCCATTTCTAAGCCAGATGTGATTACCTTATTGGAACAAGGGAAAGAACCCTGGATGGTTGTGAGGAATGAGAAAAGAAGATGGAACCTAGGTAAGTGCTAATCAGGCAGAGGTAAGCCATTATGGACACATCTTTTAGATGTTGATTGTGAAAAAGAGACCTGAAACTTGGGAAGAAAACTTAGGTTTTCTCAGCATTAGCCACCGAAGAAATTTCATCTGCACTTCCACTTACCACTTGTTTCCTCTCTCTCTCATATTTCCCTCTTATTTCCATGGGGAACCTTTCTTCCCTAGGGATAACCATTTTTCTGTATTTTGGATCTAATGCCTTTCTTTCTCATCTTTTGTGTTTTGATTTTTGTGTATATATGTCTTCATTGCCCTCTTTTCTTGGAGTTTAAGTTGTAATAAAGGAGTCGTAGAATAAACAAGTAAATAAATAAATGGATTATGAAATATCCTGAAGTGATTAGGTGTTATGAGGAAAAATAAGTAAGGTGAGGATATGGAGAACTGTAGTGAGTGAATGGGATAATTTTAGATAGGGTGGTCAGGGAAAAGGAGCCATTTTTAAAAGGTTACAGTTGGCCATAGATGGGACCATTTGGGTGTCAAAACGCATAACTGTATTGTAACATACAAATATATGCTTAATTCCATCAATTCATAATGATACTAACAGCAAATTGTTCATCATTGAAAGCTACTAGAGAATTAACTCATTTGAAAAACATAAATGCAAAGGAAGAGGAGCATCTATCCTGCCTTTCTTATAAGAATTGTAGCCGGGCTCAGTGGCTCAGCCTGTAATCCCCCGCTTTTGGGAGGCTGAGGTGAGTGGATTGCCTAAGTCCACGGGTTCGAGACCCTCCTGGGCAACTTGGCGAGACCTCATCTCTACAATAAATCAAAATGAGCCGGGCGTGGTAGCGCACGCCTGTAGTTCTAGCTACTTGGAAGGCTGAGGCGGAAGGATCACTGGAGCCCAACAGGTTGAGGCTGCAGTGGCCGGGAGCGGCCACTGCACTCCAGTCTGGGCGACAGAGTGAGACTCCAACACACACACACACACACACACACACAATTTTAAATTTAAATTCATACAGGCTCTCTCTTGAGAGAAAGGAATAGTTGAGAGCACTGGTTTCAAATTTGCCTGTGTCACCAACATCACTTGACCAAATAATTTAATTTCTCTGTGTCTCAGTTTTCTCTGTTGCAAGCAGGTTATAGTAATGTGTATAGATAGAGTTGTTGTGAGGTTTGATTTAATATAAGTGTTTATATGAATGCCTAGTACAAGTTAACCATTAGATATGTTTATTAAGTACTATTTTTGCTATTTTTAAAATATTATTTTGATAAGAATAAAATAAGTTTCTTGCCAGGATATTCCAAACTTAAAAAAATAATTTTTAAAATCCTGGCCAGGATATTCCAAACCTAAAAACAAATTCTTGAATATCATCAAAACTCAGTGTCCACACTTCCAACTGTCTGATAAATAAAATTTTAAACAATTATTAAAAATAATTAATACAAAGTCCATAGGACACCATTGGTTGACATATCTTTGACATCTCTTTTAACCTACAGGTTCTGTTATTATCGTTAGATTTCCCTTGTAATTTATTTGTCAAAGAAATTTTTTTTTGGTCCTTGTATTTTCTCATATTCTGAATTTTGATGACTATATTCCCTAGGTGTAAAACATGTTCCTCTATCGTCTTCCCATAAATTGGTAATCTGGCTTTAGAAGCTAGACTTAGGACCAATTTTGTTGGCAAAGTTAGTTCATGGGTGATATTGTGTTCTTTCATTAGGAAAAATAATGTCTGATTGTCTCTATTTCTATGATGCTATCAGCACAGATGTTTGATGTTTCTGGATCCAATAGTTCATTATGGATTTTTAAATGGTAATATTTTAATTTTATCATTCCATCTTATTTTATTCATGACTATTTTTATATCTACTACCTATTGGTACAATTCTTTTTTTTTTTTTTTTTTTTTTTTGAGTTGGTTATGTATAAAAGTGCTTTTGGAGATAAATACTGAAATAAGTACAAGTGAAATGATAAAATATCCAGAATTTGCTTCAAGCAATAAGAGGAAAGTAGGTAGGGTAAAGTGGCTTACACCTGTAATCTCAACACTTTGGGAGGCCAAGGCAGGAGAATCACTTGAGCCCAGGAGTTTGAGACTAGCTTGGGCAACATAGTGAGACTTTGTCTCCACAAAAAATACAAAAATTAGCCAGGTGTGGTGGCACACTCTTGTAGTCTCAGCTACTTGGGAAGGTAAAGTGGCAGGATCACCGGAGCCGAGAAGTTCAAGGCTTCAGTAAGCTGTGATCATGCCACTGTACTCTAGCTTGGGCAACAGAGTAAGACCTTGACTCAAAAAACAAAACAGAACAAAAAACATGTTTATGGACATAAACAGGAAAACTGATGAAGCAGAGAGAGAAGAGTTTTGTAAGCAATGATGGGAAAGAGTGGAACCAATTTATGAAGGAAAACCATGCATTTGATTAAGATTCTGACATAGATTGATTGGATAGTGTGGTGGAGCGGAGAATACATATTCAGTATGTGATCAGTATGGATCTTCAGAAGTGCAATTTTGTGGTCGTATGTTTTTAACGTTTTCAGATCTCTTGATTCCCTAACACTAATGTTAATGTGATTAAAAACGCCCTGGTCATAAATAAATATTCTACATCGCATATTATTTTATACCAGCAAAAAAAGGTGATTAAAGGCGTCAGAACTCAGGAAACAGCATACCTCGGGGAATAATTTTATGACACAATAACTTGCTTCTTATTTTCTTTTTAAGTAAAGCCAATGCTCTGCAAATGGAAATAACACTTCTCCTTTTATATTGACCTACAATGGCCTAATACTTAGTTTTCACATTAGCAGTGTTTATTAGAATAAATCCCTTTGATTCAATAGCATCTAAACTAGTATTTGGTTTATTAATTTTAAACAGTTAAAAATTTACATATCTTAAAAGGTAGAATGTTAAAATTTTCTACCATAGGCTAATCTTTCGATGATTGTCCCAGTGTTTTGTTTCAATTTAAGTCCAGCTCATTCTGTATTGATTAAAGTACATAAAATGCATAGGCTTTTCATTCCAGTTTCAATTTCTCTGAAGTAGAACAAGAAGGCAAAGATACTTGTGATGCAATCTAAATGCAAAATGCTTTTTGAATTTTTAAAAAAATTATTATTTTTTTTGAGTTGGAGTCTTAGTGCATCACCCAGGCTGGAGTGCAGAGGCACACTCACAGCCACCTAGCATCGACCTGCTGGACTCCGGTGATCCTTCTGCCTCAGTCTTCCAAGTAGCTGGAACTACAGGCATGTGCTACCATGCCTGGCTAATTTTTAAAAATTTATCGTAGAGATGAGGTCTTGCCATGTTGCCCAGGCTAGTCTTGAACCCACGGTCTCAGGCAATCCACTTGTCTTAGCCTTGGAAAGTGCTGGGATTACAGGCTGAGCCAATGATCCCAGCCTCTTTTTGAATTTTGATCCATCAATCCTTTAATATTTTTTCATCCATACTTATTTTGACAACAATGCAATGTGCATTTACAGCCAGTCCTTCCAAAACATTCATCTCTCAGTTTTCATAGAAATGATTGCCTTTAAACATTAATCATTTTAGTTGCTTGCAAGAATAAGAACTAACATAGACAAATTTGGGAACAAATATTGCTGACTCTTTGGTAACAGACAGTTGTGTATGATAGAGCAGCCTCTTAGATATGAATGTCCAAAATGCCAAAGTCTTAATCTGGATTGTCACCTAAGTAGGGGGCCATATATGACCATTGCTGGCTCACTATATCAACACTAGGAATGTTTTTTTTTTTAAAGAAAACTTTGAAATTGTATTGAATAAATTGCATAACTGGTGCTAATTTGTTTATTTGTCCCAGTTTGTTTATGCTTCCTTTATGCCATTACTTTTTCCATTGTTTAATGTTTTTTGTGCAAATTTGTATGGGCTTTAAATGAACACTTACTGTATTATTAATATTTTACCTATTTTTGTTTTTGACTATAGATTTCTTTTTAGATTACTGGTTTTTAATTTTTGATTTGTGGGTAAATCTTTTGAAATTACTATCTTATCTCTTAACCTTTGTCATGCCTTTATAACTGCCTGCTTATTTACTACTATTATTTAGCTAATTATGTTCATTTTCCATGTACCATTTATATCTTTGTTTTATTAAGGCCCTAAATTGACTTTCTCCCCAAAATTCCAGAAAATTGTCATCATTTTGTGGATGGGGAGACAGAGAAAAACACACAGGTTTCATAGCAATATTTTCTGTGCCATTCATTTACCTGTCTCTGCTCAGATTGTATTCACATCATTTAAATTATTGTTTCTTTTTAATGTCTTTCTAGCATATACCTTTTTAAAGTAAACTTTTTGAAGTGTGTGTGTGTGTGTGTGTATATACACACATATAAAAAATACATAGATCATTAGTGTGCAACTAAGTGAACTTTCACAAAACGACCACACCCATCTAATCAGCATACAGATTTAGAAATAGAGGAGGCCAGAAGCCCCCTCCTCACTCCTTTTAGTAATTTCTCCCCACCAAGGTAATCACTCTCCTGACTTTTAACAATACCATAGATTGGTTATGTCTAGCTTTGTTTGTTCACCATTGTATTTATAAGATTGATCCTTGTTGCATGTAATTGTAGATTGTTCATTCTAATTACTGTATAGTATTGTGTTGTGTTAATATGCCATAATTTACTTAGCTATTTTTCTGTTGATGAACACTTGGAATTTTTACAGTTGGGCATATTGCAAACAATATTGCTGTTTTACAAATTTTTAAAAACACTTTTCAACTGGGCTCGGTGGCTCAGCCTGTAATCCCACACTTTTGGGAGGCTGAGGTGAGTGGATTGCTTGAGCCCATGGGTTCAAGACCCACCTGGGCAACTTGGCGAGACCTCATCTCTACAATAAATCAAAAAAATCAGCCGGGCATGGTAGCGCGCGCCTGTAGTTCCAGCTACTTGGAGGGCTGTTGCGGAAGGATCGCCAGAGCCCAGTAGGTCGAGGCTTTGGTGGCTGGGAGCGGCCACTGCACTCTAGTCTGGGCAACAGAATGTGACTCCAACTCAAAAAAAAACCCCAAAAAACACTTTTCTTCTTTTTAAAAAGTATTGAATTATTATTGCAAAAATTTTGAGAAAATAACATTTGAGAAAAGCATCTGTTTGCTCAGACGTTTACTTGTCTTTTATTATCGTATAAACCTGTTGATATGCCTGAAAAAAAACAACACTGAAATACTCTTTATGAAATACCCAAATAGCATTGGCTATGAGAACTTTAGGGGATATTTGGGGAATTGTATGAAGAAACAAACAGATTGAATATTTGTAACATAGATATGTATAATTACATAAATTCAAGTGAAGATAAATGAGTAGAGCTCTCATTATAGTGGTTGTAAAAGGGGACAAAGTTCACTCATGTCTATGCAAAATAAAGAAATTGAACTGCAGTGGAAATATCTGCAAGTGTAAGTGGAAAGGCAATTGGAAGGATGGTCAAGAGTAAATAAATTACCATGTTCCATTTATACACACACACACACACACACACACACACACACACACGTACAGACACACACATTTTTTTGAGTCAGAGTCTCGCTCAGTCAGCCAGACTGGAGCACAGTGGCATGCTCAGGGCTCACCACAACCTTGACCTCCCCAGCTCAGGTGATCCTTCTGCCTCAGCCTCCAAGAAGGCTGGGACTACAAGTGCATGCCTGGCTACTTTTTTGATTTTTTGTGGAAACAAGTTCTCGCTATGTTACCAAGACTAGTCTCGAACTTCTAGGCTCAAAGAATCCTCTTATTTCAGCCTTCCTAAGTTATGTATGTATTTTACTGAGACAGCTTAGATGTGCTTGTTTTCCATTTCTAAATGAAGTGATAAAAAGAGAACATTTAGAGACTGTAGCAGGACAACGTACTCAATAGTTGTTTGCTGATGATAAGAATTTAATGATTCACAGTTACTATGTACTGTGAATGGATTTGTTATTTCAATGGTGAGTGAAAAATTGTTTCTACCCTTGGGAAAGTTTAATGCAAGATCATAAAGAGAATAATAAATGCAGAAATTAATGAGTAACAACAAAATTGAGAAAAATGTTAAGGGACAGAGAATAAGTGACTGGGATAGAAAATAAAGGGTATAAATTAGATGAAGTTAGCGGGGATCAATTTTTTCTGATTTTTAAGATAATATCTGATGTATGAAAGGAACCCAATCATGCAAACCCAAGTCAAGATTTCTGGGAGATTGATAGCCAGTGAAACGCTTTATGAAATGGAAGATTGTGACATGTTCTAGGAGCAGAAAGGGTTCAAGTGTAATAGAGGTGCAGCAAAAGGGACTTGAGGTGATACTTATGGTAAAAAGAGTCAATCCATGTTATTCATGGTAAAGTGTTTACCCTTTATTCTGATTGAAGAGAGAAATCATTAAAAAACTTAAATGGGGATTCTCAAACATTGATCTGTACAAATAATCTGGTCTTAACATATCACTTTCTCTATTCTTTGTAGTTTTTTTCAAATTACATGACTCTTATAGAGTATTTTAACTCATTTACTTCAATTGGGCTTTATTTTGTTTTACTTTTAATTTTTTTATATTATAAAGTTTTTATTTGCTCATTTACTTTGTCTAGAATAGGAAAATATATGTTTATCTTGTTTTCTTTCAGATTTGGAATCCAAGCATGACACTAAGAAGTTATTCCAAGAAAAGAATATTTATGAAATTAATTTCTCTCAGTGGGAGATGATGGAAGGAATGAAAAGTCGTGGACTTGAAGACTCCCCTTTTGGAAAAGATTGTGAATATGAAAAGTTTGAGGGACGAGAAAGTCCTCACGAAGTGTATTTCAGGCAAGTGATGAAAACCATCCCTAAAAAAATGCCCCATTACAGAAAACTCACATCTCTTACTCTGTATCAGAAAAATCATAATAGAGAGAAACCCTATGAATGTGGGGAATGTGGAAAGGCTTTTAGAGTACGCCAACAGCTTACTTTTCACCAAAGAATTCATACTGGTGAGAAGCCCTATGAATGTAAAGACTGTGGCAAAACCTTTAGACAGTGTGCCCATCTTAGTCGACATCAGCGAATTCATACCTCTGACAAGCTCTATGAATGTAAAAAATGTGGAAAGATCTTTACATGTGGTTCAGACCTTCGAGTACATCAGAGAATTCATATTGGTGAGAAGCCATATGAATGTAAAGAATGTGGAAAAGCCTTTAGAGTGCGAGGACAACTTAATCTCCATCAAAGGATTCATACTGGTGAGAAACCCTATGAATGTAAGGAATGTGGGAAGGCCTTTAGACAGTATGCACACCTTACTCGGCATCAGAGACTTAACATTGCTGAGAAGTGCTATGAATGTAGGGAATGTGGTCAGGCTTTTCTGTGTAGTACAGGCCTTCGAATACATCACAAACTTCATACTGGAGAAAAACCCTACCAATGTAAGGAGTGTGGAAAGGCCTTTAGAGTGCGGCAACAACTTACTCTCCATCAGAGAATTCACACTGGTGAGAAACCCTATGATTGTAAGGAATGTGGGAAGACCTTCAGTCGTGGTTATCATCTAACTCTCCATCAGAGAATTCATACTGGTGAGAAGCCTTATGAATGTAAGGAATGTCAGAAGTTCTTTCGTCGTTACTCAGAACTTATTTCACATCAAGGTATTCATATTGGAGAGAAACCTTATGAATGTAAGGAATGTGGGAAGGCCTTTAGACTGTTTTCACAACTTACTCAACATCAGAGTATTCATTTTGGTGAAAAACCCTATAAGTGTAAGGAATGTGAGAAGAGTTTTAGACTGCTTTCACAACTTACTCAACATCAGAGTATTCATACTGGTGAAAAGCCCTATGACTGTAAGGAATGTGGAAAGGCCTTCAGACTTCATTCGTCACTGATTCAACATCAGAGAATTCATTCTGGTGAGAAACCATACAAATGTAAGGAATGTAAGAAGGCCTTTAGACAACATTCACACCTTACTTATCATCAACGAATTCATAATGTCACTTAATTATTACAAGAACCCTTCCATTGTGAATTTTTTTGTTAAGGAACATTAGAAAATAAACTTAGAGGAAAAGTTTTTGAATGTAGGAATCTCTTTTGATTTATCTTACAGCTAACTCAGCATAAGAAGTTTTTTATTTAAAGGAAAGAATGTTAATTTAATGAATATATAGAAGTCTTTCATATCATTCAACCTTGTTAAACTTTAGGAAATTCATTTTAGAAAGGAACTTTATTAAAGAAAAGCTTTTGATTGTACCTATCTCTCTGTATTCTTCTATGTGTGTAGTATATGTATGGAGGTTGCCAGGGCACCAACTCATTCTGAAAATTGATAAATAAGAGGAAAGAAAAGTTATTTATCCTTCATTTCCTGTATGATCTGTCTTTCAGGGCAACCAGAAGTGTGAAAGGTAAAGTTCTTCTTTATTAAAGAAATCCAACTAATGATTGCAGATAAATTATAGAAACAGAAAATTATGTCAGAAAAGCCATTTTGGAGCACATAATGAAATCACGGATCTAGGCATGATTCTAAGTAGAGGTTAAGATCTTTAAGTGAAAGGTTGGCATGAACTTTACAGCTCAGGCTGACAACAGCTGAACCCATGGATGAATCTTAACCTCACAAAAAATGTGACAGTAAGACATTGTGTGCCTTCCAATGTGATACAATAAGATATACACATCTTGCCAAAAATATTAAACCCAATTTTGATTAAGCCTCAAGATCTAACTCCCAGTAGAGAGAAAATTCAAGGAACAGAAGAACAAATTACATGATACAACAAGAAGCAATTAAGTCTAAAATATGTATAATTTTACAGGAGGAATGACATTTTAAGAAAGAAAGACAAAGTCTTACACATATTGAGAGAGACTTAAGAGACATAATCAAATGCAATGGAAGAGTGGTTCTTATTTAGATCATGAGTTGAACTAGCATGTAAAAAAGACATTTTTACAACATAGGAATATTCACAGTATTAGATAATATTGAGACACTTTTTGTTATATGTGTTAATAGTGTTATGGTTATATAAAAGTGTTTTTTCAAGATAAACTCTGAAGTTTATGCATATGAGATGATATGATGTGTGGAATGTCCTTTTGCTCATACAAAAGAAAAGTGAGGATGAATAACTTAAGTTTGGCAAAATGTTGGAAACCTAAGTCTTGGGTACATGGTTTCTATTTGTTTTGTTTTTGCTATTCTCTCTACTTTTGTGTATTTAAAATTTTTCATAATGTTCTTTTAAAGATAAAATTAACCATGAATTTATAACCAGTTTAAGTGAATGATTTTTTTTCTGTTTTTCTTTTTTGAGTCATAGACTCTGTTGCCCAGGCTGGAGTGCAGTGGCACCCTCATGGCTCACTGCAGCCTCAACCTCCTGGGCTCAGGTGACCATTCTGCCTCAGCCTCCTAAGTAGCTGGGACTACAGGTTTGCATCACCACACCTAGCTGATTTTTTGAGTTTTATAGAGACAAGGCATCACTATGTTGCCCAGGCTGGTCTTAAACTTCTGGGCTCAAGCAGTCCTCCTGCCTTTGCCTCCCAAAGTGCTGGGATTATAGGCATGAGCCACCATGCCTGACTGAAGTGAATGGTTTTTTGAAAATCTTTCCATATCAAAACTTGTGGATGTTGCCAAATCTCTATACATTGGGATTAAGATAGTAAGTACACTACAATGATTATAATTTATTCAGGAAGTTTATGGGTCCACATTTTATCTAGTTCACCTCTTTATATCAACTGTAGTACATGTTCCATATCAGACACTTCATATGCTTAAAGAATGAATAAAAGAAAGTAATCACTACAACTAAATGTGGAAATTAACAAACAAAAATTATGTAGCTTACATACTTCTATTTGTCAGCATTGATATGTACAATAAAAAATGGTTTTTATCCAAAGTTTTTTTTTTAAAGAATATCAATGCAGTCAAGACCTTTGATCACAGAATGCAAATAAGGTGACACAATTACAGCTATATGAATGATAAGTGACAGCTGTGGATTTTAAAAATTATAAGCTGCTATGACATGTATATAATGTGTGTATATATACATGGGGTGCCAAAAAATTATACATTATTTATTTATTTATTTATTTTTTAATTAATTAATTAATTTTTTTGAGTTGGAGTCTCACTCTGTCGCCCAGACTGGAGTGCAGTGGCCGCTTCCGGCCATGGCAGCCTCGACCTGCTGGGCTCCGGCGATCCTTCCGCCTCAGCCTTCCAAGTATACACATTTTTAAGTATGATGTTCACAGCAGTTTCTATTGCCCAAGCCACCAACTGTGGCATATCGCCCCTTCTTTTCTCTTTTCTTTCTCTAATAAACTTTGTTTGAAAAAATTTTTTTTAAAGTATGATGTTTGCTCAAAAGATAGCATTAATCAAATGAATGCTAGTATCACCATATGATGGCAAGACAGTCAAAGAAAATGGCAGAAGCACAGTTGAGTGAACGTCATATTACACATTGCTACCCTATCTATTACTTCAACTTCAAAAAGTAGTAGATAACATCTCTTAAAATGTGTGTATATTTTTGGCACTCCTGGTATATAGTGTGTAGGTGAATATATGTGTATATATACATATGTTATCTATTTTGAAGTAATCTAGTGAAGTATCTTTTGAAGTATCTAGTTGAAGTAATAACATCTATTTTGAAGTAATCTAGTGAAGTATCTTTTGAAGTATCTAGTTGAAGTAATAGATAACATATACATATGTTATCTATTACTTCAACTTCGAAAAGTAATAGATAACATCTCTTAAAATGTGTGTATATTTTTGGCACTCCTGGTATATAGTGTGTAGGTGGATATATGTGTATATATACATATGTTTATTTACACACATGTATTTTAAAATATTGAAAATCTAGTAGTATTTTATGGAAAAGAATCAAAATTGACTTGAAATGCTGAAAAAAAATGAGTAGATCGATAAACAAAGGAAAAATTAAGACTACTGGAGGATATCCTTTCTAAAAAATACATTTAGAATCTGATTTTTTTACATTTAAGAACATTTAAGAGTTGGTAATTGCTAAATTCTTTCCACCATAAAGCTGAATGACTGAACTAAATTTGATTATAAAACTAGATGAGGAGGGCCTACAAAAACAAAATCTAGTCATTTCCCATATGAAAAGAAATTTAGTAATTCTTCTACTAGCAAACTGTATTCAACTGTTAAGCAAGTATATAATGTAAAATCATGTATGTGAAATATCTTAGATCCATCCTGCTTTAATAGACATTTAGATCATTGGGCATTCTACCTTCAGCACATCATAATGAATAGTAAAATAGGTATGATCTAGCTCTAAGATCTTCTCAATTCTTGCTGGTTTTATTTTGTTAGCTTTATGTGTATTTAAAAATGGAATGAATTGTATGTATGTAAAATTATAACCAACACTTTAAAATTACTTTCTCAAAAGAAAGTTTAGACTAAATGTACTATAGAGCATTGAGAGTTCTTAAAAATTGTTATGTCAGACTTTAGTGATTTCACTGTAGTCATTAATTATGAATTGCATTTCTCTGCTATGACTTGAAAGCCATGATATTCAGTGTATTACATCATTATATGATTGATTCTTAAACTTTTCTTCAAGCATAATATAGAACCTAATTTAAATGTGTTTCTACTCCCAACTAACATATTTGCACACTGAGGTCTTCAGAATATGATAATCTAACATTTCTCAAATGGAATATGAAATTCAATAGTATTTGAAGCCATTTTCCAGGAAACACTAGTACTTGCTGGTACCTTTAAAAAGCATTCTGTGGTTAAATGAGCATATTAAGTACTACATATTAAAATTAATCAATTTTTAAGACATTAAAACTTTAAGGTTATTCAAAGAACTAATGATAGTTGTTTTTTGTTTTTTTCATTTAACCTATGGTATCTCAAGTGCACTTTACCATGTAACTTTAACTCTCAATGCCTATAAATATATTTGGGATATGAAACAATTTTACAAGACAATTGTATAACTGAAATAGGTGACTCCAAATGTGGAAAGTTTATACTTTATGCCAACCAGGTGGCTTACTGTGTTGGAGGGTGGATGCAAGGTATGTTTCCTTGGATGTGGTATCATGTTCTAAAGTCATCTTTCTGAATATTAGACTGTTTATTCTCTGCGAAATAAAAGTTTCTAAGTCAGCCCTATAATGTAGTGAAAATGAACAACTTATGATTATGTGCAGCAATACAGATAAATCCCAAAAGCATAATGTTAGGCAAAAGAAGCCAGACATAAAGGAGGACATACTATGTAATTCCATTTATATGAAATACAAAAATTGAGAACTTTTCTGTGTTGTTAGAAGTCAGTATATTGGTGGGTCTTGGGGGGCAGGGGAATATGGCGGGAGGGGTAGTGATGGAAAGAGTAATGGGAGCTTTCTGGGGATGTTAGTAATGTTTTGTCACTTGATTTGGATGCTGATTACACTGATGCATTCAGTTTGTGAAAATTCATCAAGCTATTCATTTGTATATTTTTCTGTATGTATCTTACAGTTCAATTAAAATCTTTTTACTTATGAAAAGAAAAACCATTTGTTCATGTTGATATTTCCAATTCAAATTTAATACCGCATGATTTTTAACTTTAATTTTATTCTTTTTTCTTTTTCTTTTACACTGAAAATCTTGGTTTTTAACAATGCCGTCACGTTCTTGCTGTGTTCTAGAATAAGAGGCATAAAATAGTTACAACAACATACCAATAATACTATTAATAATGAATGTTGAATGAAGTTTAATAATTCTTTGCATCACTATCCTTAGAATGTCATTCATTAAGAATGTGGAATGAATCAAAATGCTTAGTTCTAACTAACCTGATAATCAGTAGATTCATCTGTTTCTGTTTATTTTCAGTGTTTAAGGACTGCTATTTAAATTTCTGATTTAATTTTACTTTTAAAATATATATGACATTTTTGTGACTTTAAAGTTAAAACCGTAGAACAAAGTGTGTTCTGATAATTTTTGCATCAATTTGTGCTCCAGACAATCTGTTCCATCAATTCCCTTTAACAAACCATTTTATTGTTTTATAGTTTAACTTTCCAATTTATTTTGAGAGGGTGGTTGGACACTCACTCCCTCGCCCAGGCTGGAGTGCAGTGACATACTCACGGACACCACAGCACCGACCCTGCTGGGCTCTGTGAACTCTCTGTCTCAGCCTTCCAAGTAGCTGGAACTACAGGTGCACGCTACCACACCTGGATAATTTTCTATTTATTGTAGAGATGAGGTCTTGCCAAGTTGCCCAGGTTTGTGTCCAATCCGCGGGCTCAGGCAATTCCCTCGCTTCGGCCTCCCAAAGTGTTGGGATTACAGGCTGAGCCACTGAGCCCGGCCCAATGTTTCTTTTTGAGAGGAATTTAGGTGTTCTGATTTTTGCTGTGTAACAAACCACACAAAACTCAGTGCCATGACAACCATTTTATT